TTTAATATTTAAGTAAATGATCTAATTCTCTACCATCTCTCAAAATTTGAGTAATTTCCGTTGACCGGAAGTAGTAATTTACGCTATTTCCAATTTCTCAAAAAACGCATGTAAATTTATAAAGTACTAATAATATTGCACACTATTATGCACATCTATATTTGGCGTTCAATTTGTGTGCAATTCTTTTACCACGAGATTTTATTCTATTTTAAATAATTAAATATTTAAAAATTGATTAAAAATCAAGTTCCCATTCCGTTGTTTTATATAAGAATATTCGAGAAAGTTTAGGGGAGATCACTCCCGGTTTATTTCTGTTTCAGAGCAGCTGGTCTAACTTCTTTCTGTTATAAAGTAACTGGTCTCAATTTTTTGTGTTTTACAGTAGCTGGTCTCATGTTATGTTTTTCTGTTTTACAGTAGCTTAAGTGTCTTTTTTTCTGTTTTACAGTAACTGGTCTCGTGTTATGTTTTTTTTCTATTTTACAGTTGGTAGACTCACTTTTATTTTTTCTGTTTTACAGTAGCTGACCTAATTTTTTTTTCTTTTACAGCAGCTGGTCTTATGTTATGTTTTTCTGTCTAACAGTAGGTAGACTCACTTTTATTTTTCTGATTTACAGCAGCTGGTCTCGATTTTGTCTGTTAGATTGAAGCGACTCAAGTTTCTGAGCGAGATGATGAGATTAGACGCCACTGATGGACATTAAAATAAATCACTGAACGTTTTCTTCTTTGTTATAAATATTAACTTGTTCGTTTTTTTACCTCAGGGTCGGTCTTGTCTTATTGTTAGGGTCCTTTGTTTCTTTGTCAGTCTGCTATTGAGTTTATTTGTCTCCCGTTCACTTGCCTGCCTGTTCTTCTGTGTGTGTTGTGTGTGTGCGTTTTGTGTTTTTTATGAGCGTGTGTGTGTGTGTGTGTGTGTTTTGCATCCTGCTAAATTTTAATTAGAAATTTTTAAAAAATCATGATAAAATACTCTCTCTATTGGTTTTGTTCCACATGACAATTTGCTCAGCAATATCTGGCTAACCTAACAGCATCTTAAGTTCTGTAAAATAAGCGCTGTTTAGTCTACAGTCACACTTATGTTGTGATGTATGAACTAGAACTCCTGAATGTCCACAAGCAAAAGTTATGTTATAAAGAATGGCTGCCTAGTATATTATCATGTTACAAATATTGATGCCTAGTAGATTATCATGATATAAATAATGGCTGCCTAGCAGAATATCATGTAATAAATTATGTAGCCTCGATAGCTTTACACTCTCGCCATATCTACTGATCGATTAGGTTATAGAGCCATAGCTCATAGGTTGGTGTATTTCTGAGAGTTTCACAGAGCATGAGTACGTCTTCAGTGGCGTCAAGATAGGGTTGAATGACCACAAAGTAAGAATAACTGTCCTGCAATCGACTGATCGATCAGTTCCAATTAGAATACGTCACTTTTTACCTTACGCCATCGATGTCATCAGAAGAGAACAGCCGTTGGTAACTATGCAAGAGGCGAACAACAATGTAATATCTCAAGGGTCTTGTAATGACTTCAGCAAAAATATATATTTCATGGTAACTAAATTGTCCTTCTTGTTTAATGGAATAGACTCTTCGTATAAGGAGTTAGAGCTTAGTGATAGTGTACGGAACAATATGTAAGTAAGTTAACGTGTCACAAAACAGGTATTGAGCTTGAAATTCATTGGGTATGGTCAGGGGCGGAACTACAGTGCCGCCAGACCCCGTAATGCGGGGGGGGGGGGCACGCCATTTAGGGGCCCACAGCCGACCAAAATAATTTTTTTCATTCATTTTTTTTTATTTTCTTGCACTTTTGGCTTGATGATTGTGTTGTAAAAAAAGATTACCGTAGATGCTGTTGGGTTATCTTTATTCTATAGACAACACCCAAAGCTCTTGTATATTCTTTCTCCCTTTGTTTTTAAACCACTGTGAGTCCTCTTTCTCCTACAATCAAACTTATTAAAGATAAGCTAACGTTCAAACCACTTCCATGACTTATTTCCCTTTTTTTAAATAGGGCTCCTTTTAATAGATTTGTACTAAACAAATTAAAAAACAATTATTTCTCTTAATTATTTTTTTATAAAGTAGTTCCTAAACAATGACATTGTATAAAAAGGAAATGTATTTACAAATAATAATATAAATACAAAAAAAACATAAACATAAAAATAAACATAACACGAGACACCATTACTTATATTCTTTTGCCCGACTTAGAGGTCACAGGTCATATAACAGAGATAAAATAAAACTGATTTTCACAAAACACACTAATGCACTTACACACATGACATGATGTTGTAATTTGTTTTGATTAAAAAGAAAATTTCTATTTAAACCCGAACAGGTCAGCAATGAGTATCTTATGTTCGTATTTTGTGCTTGTATATATATATATATATATATATATATATATATATATATATATATATATATATATATATATATAGCGGGGGCCTAACAAATATTTTTGCGGGTGGCCTTTTTTTTCTAGTTCTGCCACTGGGTATGGTGTTTCTTTCAGATAGTGGAAGAAGCCACTTGAAATTTTCGGGAGGGTTGGACCACACCTGCGATTTCTGGAGAGAGGTGGTGGTTGCAGACACTGGTTAAAATATGTATGTTCTATATATAAAAATAAATAATACGCTTTACAATTTGGTATCGGCAATAGACAAACAGACCGCACAACAACTATGACTCAAAGCTTGAAATACTTATCAATGATCCATCCACAATAATAATGCCACTTAGGCCGACTTAGGCTGCAAAAATGATCACCCGCCTTAACACGATTGCGTGAAGCGTAACTCACGCAACATCCAACGAACTTAAACAGCTACAAGTTAAAAATGGAGATGGAAATTAGTTATGTGCCTCTACAAATCGGAGCAATCGGGGCGAGACTTCTTATAGATTTAACTACTAAATGTCAAACAGGCCGACTGAAGAGACAAAAAAGAGCGCAGTCTCAAAGTTTCTTACCATTTGACAGCCTACTACTTTTGACAACCTACTACATTTGACTACCGCCTCTCTTAACATTTGACCAACACCTACCATTTGATCAACTACAATTTGAACACCTACCATTTGACCATCATCTATCATTTGAAGACCACCTACCATTTGACCATCACCTACCATTTGACCATCACCTACCATTTGACCATCAACTACCATTTGACCATCACCTATCATTTGACCACCACCTACCATCACCTATCATTTGACCACCACCTACCATTTGACCACCATCTACCATTTGACAATCAACTACCATTTGACCACCATCTACCATTTGACAATCAACTACCATTTGACCACCATCTACCATTTGACCACCATCTACCATTTGACAATCATTTACCATTTGACCACCATCTACCATTTGACAATCAACTACCATTTGACCACCATCTACCATTTGACAATCAACTACCGTTTGACCACTATCTACCATTTGACAATCAACTACCATTTGACCATCATCTACCATTTGACCACCATCTACCATTTGACAATCAACTACCAGTTGACCACCATCTACCATTTGACAATCAACTACCATTTGACCACCATCTACCATTTGACAATCAACTACCATTTGACCACTATCTATTATTTGACCACCACCTACCATTTGAAAATCAACTACCATTTGACCACCATCTACCATTTGACAATCAACTACCATTTGACCACCATCTACCATTTGACAATCAACTACCATTTGACCATCACCTAACATTTGACCACCATCTGCCATTTGACAATCAACTACCATTTGACCACCACCTACCATTTGACCACCATCTACCATTTGACAATCACCTAACATTTGACCACCACCTATTTTACCATTTTTGACGGCCATTTGCACATACATTTGTACATACATTTATCTGAGTTACCTCGAATCATATGCAATTGAAAATTTGACGGCAGGTAAATATATTAACAGCGGACGGCTAGCGAGCGAGACTGCTTATCAGAAAGTCTTGAGTTCGAATCCTGGTTTAAGTCAGTTGAACGTCCATGAGTCGGTCCAGCTCTGATGAGTACCAAACATATGCTAAGGAAAGTGAACGCGACTGGACATAGAGCTGACAACATTATCTCTTTATAGGTCGCGGTCACTGAAATCGGAGAAATGTTTTGTTGATTCCGAGTTCAATCCATCAGCTGATGAATCAAGGTTTTGCTTGAGCAGACAAAGTCCTGAATTTTGTGAGCAAAAAAAGACGTCAACTTATCGCTGTTCATCTACAATATAACTACATTGTTTAATCGTGTGAAAAATACAGCAAAGATAAGGCTAGTTAGATATCTACGAGGTCAAATTTTATCTTTGTTTTTTTTTTTAATTTAATAGTGTCAACATGTAAGCGAAGTTAAAAGGTTAACACACATGCAAATAAACGTGGCTTTTTCCCAAACCTTGTTAAATGTTTTCGAATCTGGTACTTATTGGACTAAAAACTGAATACCTGCCTATGAATTATTTTTTTACTGATGGATAATCGTTCGGTAATTAATTTAACATCAAGTTTTGTTGATAAATGTATGAAAGATATGTATTAAACTACATTGGTGTAGATATGTTTATTACACCGGAGATATGCCTTAATTAATAATCTAACTTGCAGCTAGAGAAGACTAACCTAAGGACGCAATTATTTGCTGTTGTAAATAGCTGATTAATTTAATGATTTTTATTTCAATTAAATAGTTAAAAATAGTTCAGTAATATTTGTAACGGTTAATAAATAACAAGCTATTGAAAAATAATTGGCTGTTGATATAACTTATTGGTTAGTTTCCTATATTTATTAAGCAAGTAAGTTTAAATATTACAAAATTGACGCAGTTTACTAGCTCTAATTTACAATATTCAACTTTACTTTTATTTTATCTGTTGCATATAGATATGATGAAGTGTCAAGTAGATGGTCGTTAAATATGGTAGCTATATAAATTTCTTGCTTTTTCTGTACTAAATAATTGACCTAATTAGTTAGCAGCTTGCGTGGTAATCAACACACTATAAAAGACGGCGGTGGTTTAATTAGACCAGGTCGTAGTGAGAGACGTCCCTTTTGTAGAGAAGGAATCAAACAAATTAGTAGTACGACGGTTACTATTTGATTCTTAGGGACAATATTTAAACAATCACTACTTGATTTTTTAGTACAGTAGTTCAGACATTACTTTTTGATATACCAAAACAATTGTTCGACAATCACTACTTGATTTTCAAAGACAGAAATACAACGACTACTATATACGATTTACTAAGACATTTGTACAATGAGAATTATGTCTTAAAATATCGTTGCATTAGTAAGACCATTATGGCTTGATATATCGTGGCATTAGTAAGACCATTAAAGCTTGATATATCGTGGCATTAGTAAGACTATTATGGCTTGATATATCGTGGCATTAGTAAGACCATTATGGCTTGATATATCGTGGCATTAGTAAGACCATTATGGCTTGATATATCGTGGCATTAGTAAGACCATTATGGCTTGATATATCGTGGCATTAGTAAGACCATTATGGCTTGATATATCGTGGCATTAGTAAGACCATTATGGCTTGATATATCGTGAGATGAGTAAGACCATTATGGCTTGATTTATCGTGGCATTAGTAAGACCATTATGGCTTGATATATCGTGGCATTAGTAAGACCATTATGGCTTGATATATCGTGGCATTAGTAAGACCATTATGGCTTGATATATCGTGGCATTAGTAAGACCATTATGGCTTGATATATCGTTGCATTAGTAAGACCATTATGGCTTGATTTATCGTGGCATTAGTAAGACCATTATGGCTTGATATATCGTGGCATTAGTAAGACCATTATGGTTTGATATATCAATTAAATTAAAATAAGTAAACATTCAGACTTTATTTGAATTTAGTGTGAGTCGGTACATTTTTAACGTTATTTTCACAAATGTTTTTACTTTCTTCTTCAGACGTTCACAAAGCTGTAAACCCCAACTAACAATAATAATCATTAAAAAAGTTTTTAAAAACCCACGTGTTCTGATTGAACTAAAAAGTAGAAAATAAATGCTATACATCACAATAATGCAAGCGATCACTCTACTATAAGCGATGAAAAACGTGGGGCGCCGAAGTAAAAGTTATATTACTATTGATTAGTTAATACTATTGACTTTTATTAGGGAGCTTGTAGAGAGTCAACAGTATTAGAAACTGTAAGAAAATCACGGCGCCCCACGTTTTTGATTATACTACCTTTCTCAGCTTTCGTATTCCGTTATAATTGTATTATATTATTAGGCCATTAGGTCTATTTAAAATGTAAAGTAAAATATGTATCTACAACATTATAAGCCAAAGGTAGAAATTATTAATTGAACAGTGGTTGATTAAATTCATGAAGTAGACTGTGCGGGATCCAAATCTTATCAATATAAGAAATATTAGTTAAAAAACACAACATTTTACGAGTGTGTTCATTCTATTTTAACAAGCTGAATGTGTAAACTGATAGTCTTCATTTATTTCATATCCCATTAGTTTATCTTGCTAAAGAATAAAACATACCCTTGTAAACAAAGGCCTATATTTATTTGCTTGATACTAACTCACACAACGATTGTATAAGGAGGGAGGGGGGACTTTCTGAGTTAAAGACCTTTGAGTTGGGTGCTAATTGAGTTGCTTTTGTTAAGTTAGTGTGATTAATTTTTTCGAATACTACATCTAAAATGAAGTTGAAAGTATGCAAAATATGGTTGATAAGTTAGCTATGTAGTCCTGGGGTACCTTTTGCTTTTCTAAACGTGGTTCGGAATTAAATTTTTGAATCTGCCCTTCATCGTCCACAAATAAAGTCACTGTTTTTTACACACATTCCCCTCCCCCCTCCATAGCTTATCCTCATTGGTAACCAGACCTTTTTCCAGACCCGGTATCCCCAAGCTTTTGTTAAATGTTATCACAACTGGACACTGTAGTGTGAAAGAGAGTCATACATTCAAACTACTTCCATGACTTATTTCCCTTCTTTAAATAGTCAAATAGTGGTACTCATAAGCTCCTTCTGATACATTTGTACTAAACAAATTAAAAAGCAATTACTTCTCTTAATTATTATGTTTTTAAAAAGTATTTACTAAAGAATAACATTGTATGAAAAGGAATAGTATTTAAAATAATAATAAAAATTAAAAAAAACCCTATAAAAATAAACATAAAATGAAACACCATTACTTATACAAAGCTTTCATGTTTTATTTTGTTTTGACCAACTTGAGAATTACAGGTCTAATGCGAGAGATAAAATAAAACAGATTTTCAAAACAGACAAACGCACTCACTCACATGACATGTTGTGTATTTTGTTTTAGGCCAGATTAGGCCAGAAATGAATACCCTAAATTCGTGTTTTGTGTTTATATGTATATATATATATATATATATATATATATATATATATATATATATATATATATATATATATATATATATATATATTATTTTTTTTTATTTATTTATACATATATAAAGGGGGGGGGGAGGCCAAAAATTTTTTTTTGCGGGTTGGCCCTATTTCTCTAGTTCCGCCACTGCTAACAAGCTGTATCTTAAAAATTGGATGCTTCAAAGTTTTTCCTAAGAGTTGTTTCTTTGTATTTATAAAAATCTGTAAACTGTCGTCACGGACGGCTGCTTTCGGGGAGGGGCGGGTGCGGGGAGCGAGGTGGGGGGGGGGGGTGGCGAGGGTGAGGATAATTGCCCTTCTCGGACTACTGATAGTGTTTTAAAGCAAAATATTTTCAGTCGAAATTTTGATAGTGTCGAATTCACAAATTGGGAATTACTATAGAAAATAAAACAACAAAATAACGGCGTATGCTTACGCGCTGGTCAGCTCGTATATATAATTCTCTTCATGGCGACCATGCAAGACACCACATAAACGCACGCCGTTACTCCCACGCTTCCTAGGCATATAGCTACCACCCCCACCCCCACAATTCTGGTGAGCTAAGTTTCACCCCGAATGTTTACAATCGAAGAGCCGGGTCGGCTATTAGGGGCTGATAAAGGAAGGGAGGGTAGTGTCGAATTCACTAACTGTGAAGTACTGAAACAGACAATATTGCTATCATCCCCACCCCTACCAGCCTGGTGAGCTGTGGTTTACACCGAATGTTTACAATCGTAGAGCCGGAACGAATTAGTGACTGCTATTAAGGGCAGATAATTTAGTTTTTAAACAATTTGAAATTTGAGGAAGTTAACAATTTCTTCTTGATCTTTTCGTTGTCGTCTGTAAACTGTCGTCACAAACGGTTGCTTTCACTGATGAAGGGGGGGGGATAATCGTCCTTCACTAAATACTGTACGCCGAGGGCTGGCTTGTAAAAAATTAAAAATCTTATTCTAGGCTGCATGACTGAATTATGCACAGTCGAAATCAAGAAAATAGACCGTTACTTGGCTTTACAGACATATTAAACTACTTCAATTGTGTGACACCAAAATAAAAAGTTAAAAGTGTCAGGAAAACACCAACAGAAATAACTATATTCCAATTGAAAGGGAGGGGGCGCAAAATTAATGATTTGTCCCGGGCGCCGGTACGGGTTGCTACGCCTGTGATTCTTTACCGAAAACGTCAAATGATACTAATGTCTTGCCAATTAAAAGTAAAGCTTCCCTTTCAAACCTGACGGCCTATGGGGCAAGTGAAGTAGAGTTCAATAGTTTCTGTGACCTTGCCGATTGACTTTAAGCCAATTCAACTCTCAACACCCCCCCCCCCCCCCACAGCGTACGACAAAGACGACTCACTTGTTTCTGTGACCTTGCCGATTGACTTTAAGCCAATTCAACTCTCAACATCAACACCACCCCCCCCCCCCCCCCCCACAGCGTACGACAAAGACGACTCACTGAGCCAGTACGAAGATGTCTCCTACAGCCTGGGCTACAGTGGTCCGCGGTACTGCGCCGATATGTTGTCAGCGGTGTATCCCACTGGTAGGGATAAGCTGGTGGTCTTGGATGTTGCCGCAGGGACAGGTAAATTTTAAAAAAAAAATGGAATTTGTGTTGCAGATTAATTAATTAACGCTTTTAATATTCTACTGATTGTATTAGTAACGAGATGCGAAGCTTATCGGACGATATGCCAGGAAAAAAAAGTTTAAATTTGTAAAAAAAAATATCACTTAAATTGTTGTAAGGTATTTTTGTGGTTGTTTCCCTTAGCACGCTAACTCAAATTACGGACTGATTAAAAATATGCAATGTAAATAATTATATATTTTCCTGATAAATGTCCTAAAGTATCCAATTATTAACTCTATTACCTAAAATACCAATTAAAAAAAATTGTGTCCTAAAATGCCCATTCATTAATTCTATCCTAAAAAAACCATCCTTTAATTCTATGTTCTAAAATATTCATCATTTAATTCTGGCCTAAATTATTTTTTAGCGCAATTTCCATTCTGGAGAATTGCGTTTATTAACGCGTCATTTCTGGGAATGGATGGATGGATGAATGTATGGATGAATGTGTGTCCGGGCTTTAAGTCGTATCTCCTCCTCAACGAAGCAATATCGATGACTAGTTCCAAAAGCAATTATGTTAAGCAAGTTACAAGAATGAGCATAGGCCATAAAAATTCCGGGTTTCTTTCATGTATTTCCCGGAAAAGCCAAAAAACCTCGAAAAAAAGCAGTTTTTGGCCCATATCTCGTCAACCAGACCACTTAGCGACTTGAAACATGTACCAATCGATTCCTGCCATAATTTAGAGCAATATTGCCGAAGAAAGTTTTCAAAAATATCCTCTCGTTTGGTCACAAATTTTAAAATTACAAAAACACCTACAAACCGATTGTTCTTCTAGCTTGAACGCATCCCAGCATTATACGTCAGAGCTATTTTTAGATAACATAAGGAAATTGCGCATAAATGTCACTAGACTTTTTTAATTAACTTGTTTTCATAAAATCATGAAATGTTGACTTAAAAGTGTTTTCCAGCATTACATGTCCAAGAAACTATATCATTTTATTCTGTCTATAAAGTGGCATATTATAATTCTATGTTCTTAAAGTTTTATATAAAAAAATCTTCATCATAAAAAGTTATATTATATAACTCTTATGTACTGAAATTTAATACTATAATTTCATACCCAAGAATTTTCTTCCCCTACTTCTAGGCTATATAGGATGTAAGTTCTAATTGAATACCAAACTGTTTTAAACTGTATGCTGTCTATAAAGTTGTATCCTATTATTCCAGGTCCAACTAATTGCATCCTATATTTATATAGCTCAAAAGAAGTGTCTTATAATTCTATAACCCAAAAACGTGTCTTATAACTCGATAACCCAAAAACGTGTCTTATATTTATATAAACCAAAAACGTGTCTTATAATTCTATAACCCAAAAAGTGTCTTTTAATTCTATAACCCCAAAAGCGTACCTTATAATTCTATAACCCAAAAACGTGTCTTATAACTCGATAACCCAAAAACGTGTCTTATATTTATATAAACCAAAAACGTGTCTTATAATTCTATAACCCAAAAAAGTGTCTTTTAATTCTATAACCCAAAAAACGTACCTTATAATTCTATAACCCAAAAACGTGTCTTATCATTCTATGACCCAAAAGATATGTTCTAAAAGTTTTCACCTTGAACTCTAACCCCTAAGGTTTTGTGGGTGTGGAGCTGAAACAACGCGGGTTCACCAACATCCATGCTCAAGACGGTTCCATAGGAATGCTGGAAGCAGCCAGACAAAAGGGAGTTTACTCGCATTTTTTACACTGTCTTATAACAGGGGAGACAACACTACCGCTATTAAACGGTAATTTACACGGTGCACTTCAGGTGAAAGTAAAATATTTTATTCATTACAGTGTTGATGAAATGTGTGCTTACTTCGATGTTGTACATTGAATAAGTGAATGTAAAATAAATGTTATATATTTTATGCAGTAGAATTAAATTTGTACCTTATATAAGGAGGTAACGGTGCCATTACTATTTTTACGAAACAGATTTTTACGATGCTATTGTAATATGTGGAGCTGTTGTCGAGAATCATTTGCCCGCGTCGGCCCAGAAAGATTTTATAAGAGTCATCAAGCCCGGGGGGTACGTTATGATTTCTTTGTCATTCATTTCTAATTTAGCACATCAGTACATAACTGAACGTGCCAAGCTTTATAATATAATGTATAGATTGTTAGGCTAGAGGCCAAACATTTCCGGAGATGCCTGTCTTACCTGGTTGGTTTGCTTTTGTGGCTTGTTTTTTGTTTGCGTTTGCATTTGGTTTGTTTCGTTTGCTTTTATGTTTGCGTTTGTGCTTGTGTTTTCTTTGTGTTTGTGTTTGTGTTTTTGTTGGAGTTTGCATTTGTGTTATGTTTGCGTTTTTTTGTGTTTTTGTTTTGGTTGGTTGTGGTTAGGGTGAGCAATGCCGGGTATATGCTAATTACTAAACACATGTTATGGTCCTTTACAGATATGTTTTTCAAAGTGGCCAGTGCAGGGCCTTGTTGGGACGGCTAGTATATATATATATATATATATATATATATATATATATCAACATTTATTTTGTGTTTTTATCAATGTGAAACGAATCAATTACAAATTAATGATTTTTTTTGCGTACAGATCACAAATGATTAATTAAACAGGTAAATAGGTAAATTACCTTTAGTTTTTCCTACATGTCCTCATTTTACGCAGGTATTTAATCAATGGTTATCGTGCAACCTTGACTTCAAGTGATTACGGCAAGCAATGGGAGGAGACGGCCCAGAGTCTGGTGTCAGATGGGAAGTGGACCCTGTATGGGAGGCTGACATTTCAGAAATACAACCTGTTCACTGACGGTGTGGTGGACGTCTACAAAAAGATATGACCTTCTCAAACAGTTTTATATACCTACCTACCTGTCAAAAAATATAATATTGATCTAAATTGATTCAGTTACCGTGGTTTTTATTTTATTTTAACCTGATGTATTTCAACTTGATGTTAATATAATGAAAATGATGTTAAATTTGTAAAACTTGTTAACACTCGCTCTTTGCCAGATTTTTGACGCTCATCTGATTTGACGTTTAATTGTGTTACATAAAGTTTCTTAGTTATTGTTAAGTCCCTTGTGTAATGTGTATCTTAGTGATGTCCCTTGAATGTCGAGTCTCTGTGTACTGTGTAGCCGTGTTGTTGTTGTCAGTGAGTTTGCTGTGAACGAATCTTGTAAGAGGACGTGTAGACGGAGCTGTGTAATTTGTGAATAACAAAGTGTTGAAGTTAACTTGATGTCGTTTGACGTAATATACCAAGTGCAAGGAAATAAGACTAGTAACTAAAGTATGGGACCACATATGATAAAACTGTTATAAACCGATAAGCAGTTTAAAGAAATACCCTCCACAGGGCCGTATACGTTAATATTAAAAACGAGCCGACCCGCGGTGTATTATACGCCGCTATTTAGTGGTTTTATTTTCTACTTTTCAGTAATTCATAATTTGTGAATTCGACAGTACCAATGCTGCCACTGAAAATATTTGCTTTAAAGCACTACCCCCCCCCCCCCCCCACCATTCCCTCAAACCCTATCTTATCCCCCCCCCCCCCCCCCGTGAAAGCAGCCTCCTCTTAGTTACCTCCTCTAAGTTTAAAATCGTTTCAAACTAAATTATCTGCCCCTAATAGCCGTCACTAAACCCGGCTATACGAATGTAAACATTTAGAGTGAACACCGCTCACCAGACCATGTGTGGGGGGGGGGGTGTGGGGGGGGGTAGTGATAGAGAGGAAGAGAGGGGACTGCAAGGCGCAGTTTGCAGCTTGTTTTCTAACGTCTCCCAGAAGAGAATTATATATATATAGATAAGTATTATTAAAAAAAGCTTATTGCTCTTGAAAATGTAATTTCGTCCCTGCTATCATATATGGGAATAAATCAAAGGGATAGCTGTAATAGTTCAACGTGTTGTCGATCCTCGATTATAGTGGATGCTTCCTACAACGCGAACATCGTTTTGGTGCTTGAAACACAGTTGAGCCATTCAAAGTTCAGATTTTTCTTTTTTTTTTCATACTTAATGGTAATATTTGACGGAATTTCCTCCAACATAACTACGTGTAAACTTGTTATGTGCTGTTGACGATTTTAGCCTGCTTTTCTTTCTTGATTTGCTCTCATTATGTGATGATGCTAGTTCAAGGTAGATGGTATAAGCAGACTATAACTTAGTTAGTTAAACAGACCAATGGATATACAGGAGCTGACCGGTCACGTGGGACAGTCAGCTAACCACTGACGCGTGGGTCAGTAGTTAGATCAGCGACAGACAGTGATAGGTAGCTATAGAGAACGGTCAAAGATTTGTAGAGCGAGGTAGAGAGTTAGGGGTGGATAGTGTGTTAGGGATGGTCATGGAAGTGTGCAGTTAAATAGGTGTTGTAGTTTAAATTGATAGTATATAGTTTAGACTCGTTACATAGAAGTAATAAGTTGATTTGTGTAAATAAAGAATTATAGAACATCTTGAATTGGACTTGTGTCTTTGTCGTGTAAATAAAGAATTATAGAACATCTTGAATTGGACATGTGTGTTTGTCGGATTTCACGAAACGATACCAGGCGGTTTCGTCTTTTTCAACCCCACCCTCACATTTGGCGGTAGCTCTTCTAAAACCCACACCCTCACACATAGCCTTAGTCCAGTCAAAAACGAACTACAAGGCAGTAGTTGTTTTTCTTTCATAGATGCATCGCTTTACCTAATTATCTTTCCGCATCTCCTCCAGAGGCAGGAGCCTGATTTTATGAGATAGCAATTTAGCCAGGGGCGTAGCGAGGGGCGGGGGGTTAGGACCGGACCGGGTGACACCATTAAGGGGGGTGACACCAAAGCAAAAGAATAGCAAAATACATAGAGAAAAACTTGATGGGGGGGGGGGGTGCAAATCGAAAGTTTAAGAGGGGGGGGGGTGCAAATCGAAAACTTGAAAGTTTGTCCCCAGAAAGGGTCGCTACGCCTCTGGGGGTGACACCATTAAGTGCCGTACCGGGTGACACCCGACCTCGCTACGCCACTGAATATAGCAATCACACACTCACCATTATCTCCAGTCCCCCCCCCCCCCCGCCTTTTTCTTTTAAACGCGAATATGAAATTTTGTAAAATAAACGTTGTTCTTTTGATAAAATAATTTTAAGGGGGGTCGCGAAGAGCTTTCTGGGGGGTCGCCAACTGGTATACTAAACCTTAGTAATGAGAAACAAAACATACCTATTTAGAATATCTGAAATAGCAGACCGTAGATGTTTAACACATTTTTATTGAAATTAAGCTTTCACCATTGTTTGCTTTTCAAGTTAATAAATCAACAGACGTGAGTTCGTGTTCGCAGATGCTGGTCTTTGTCTATATTCATTCAGATTATAGCAAAGAAGAGTTGCTCTTTTGTGAAATAGCATGGAGAAAATAAATAAGTTTTTTTTTTTAAAAATAGAATGGGTGATAAAGGCTATGGGGGTTTGTACGGATGGTGCTTTATCTATAATTAGGTCAAAATCGAGCTTTCAGAAAACAGAAAAGATTTAGCTCCCTAACCACTGCATGATTCATCAGTATGCCCTCGCCACCAAGACGCTTCCGACTCCATTGCTAGTAAAAGTCGTAAATTATATTATATCTGTAGCTTTCAAAAACCTAAGCAACGACATTAATATAGATCACGAGGTTCTGCTTTTCTACACTACAGTACGCTGGCTGTCAAACAAAATGTTGTGAATCGTGTTTTCGAATTGAAATCTGAAATCAAAATGTTCTTGGAAGTGCAAAGTAAACAAGACCTTTTGGTATACTTAAAACGACATAGAGTAGTTGGAGAGAGTATCATACCTAGCAGATATATTCAAACACCAACATAAGCTTAACCTGAAGCTTCAGGGAAAATGGACGAATATTATCACTTTCCGTGATAATCTCGGGGTATTTTATAAAAGCTGCAAAATTAGCAAAGAACATAAATCTTGGAAATATTGTGTGGAAGATGAATCATATTGTGAGATTATTAAAATTTTGAAAGAGGCGATTTCTGGGCATCTTGAATCTCTTAAAATACGAACTGCGGCGATATTTCTCTGAGCTCAAAGAAGAAGAATCTGCATTGACGCATTACCCATTCTTTACTTTCCTTGATGTTGCAAGCATTCCTAATGAATTTCAAGATGAATTCTTAGATTTGCAGAATGATTCCGCGTAAGATGAAAAACTGCAGAAACAATTTTGGTGTAGCATTCACCATTCATACCCAAACGTAAAATTGATTGACTTTTCTAGTACAGATTTTCAACACTATTCTCCGATTAAAAACACAATTTTGAAATAAATTGAATGTTGATAATGACATAGGTTGGCGTTAATAAAAAGTTAACAGCGAATGTTTTGTAAATAGTATGCAATTTTACTCATCGTATTAAAACAGTTATCGAGAGTAGTTGATATTGAAAGTCTTCTAGAAAATCTTATTTTAGTGCTTAGTCCATACAAATTCCATTTTTAATTCCATGGACGCCGCGGGTCACTTACTTTTTATAAAAGGGGGTCACGACTCGAAAAAGTTTGGAAACCACTCATCTAACCGATGTTAGCTACCAACGTTTTTTGTTATTATAATTTTAGAAAGAAAGTTATTTTAATTAAATAAGTATTTAAAATTGTTCAAACAGATTATTTAAAAGCAATATTTTAAATTAAAAAAACATTAAAAAACATTGAATAATTTAAATAGTTTAATTGCAATAAAAATATTTTAATACAATATATCATCATCTAGCTTGTATAAGGCCAATATATTTAAACGTTCAGTTTTCGACGCAAAATGCAAAACGCTGACATAAAAATTAGTAAACCTAAAATACAATACAGACACAGATTATGTATAGGCCTACACTTATAATATTATTATAAGCTATTAACTAACAGACTAATAAAAAATGATCCGACACACGTTAATAATAAATCACAAAACATACCACAAAATTAGTGGCAATTTATTGATGTTATCAGCAAGACGTTTTTTTTTATAAACTTCGCTTTTTAAAATTATAGATTTTTAATAAATACGAAATTAAATGTACAAAACATTTAGGAGTAATCCTAAACTATCCTATAAAAAGCGTTTGATACTCTTTCAGAAGCATCAATTTTATTTAAGGAAAAAAAAAAATGTCCATTGGATTCACATAGATCATGAGTAAAATGTCCATGATTAAAACGTCCACGGGACACTAGCGTTAGTTGACTTGGTATATGTCCACGTAACCCTCGGCAATTTTTGAGTAGCCAGGTGCCATCAGCCTGCCGTACAGCGTCCACTTCTTCTCACTGACCAGCCTCTTGGCCTCGTTTTCCCAAGCCCGTCCGTAGTCCAGGTTCAGCACCGTAGTCCGGAAAGCGTTGATGATAAATCTGTGGAAATATACGTTTGGTCTAGTGGAAGGCGTTGATAATAAATCTGGCAAAATGTACTTTGATGTAGTGGCTGTTAAATCTGGTGAAATATAAGTTTGGTCTAGTGGTAGGCGTTGATGATAAATTGAGGGGGTAAAGATGAATTAATGGTAGTCGTTGACGATGAATATTGGTCAAACATTTTATAGCCTATTAGTTGGCGTGAAGGAAATAAATTTGCATTAACCAACAACGAAATACACATATCAAAACCAGTTAAATTAAAAACATTATACAAAATCATCGAAACTGTGGACAACTGAGTGTGAGATCCAATATTCACCTCGGGCTTGATATTTCTTATCCCCACCCCCGATGCTTACTCACTGCTGACACGGTAACCTTCATACTCAACCTCCTGGCTTAATGATCCCACCTCACCCCCCCCCCCCATCCGATACTCACACACCGTGTTGGTGATCCCATCCCCCCATCCGATACTCATAGGCTTGATGTTCCCATATACACATCCGATACTTACCCCCGGCTTTATGACCCAATACCCCCCCCCCCCAAATTTGATATTTAGTACTTACCCCCCGGGCTTGGTGATCCTGATCAGCTCAACCTGACAAGATGGCGGCAGATGGTTCTCACACACGGCACCGCTGATGGTTACAGCGTCGTACGTGCCTGTAAAAGATTTGTAGTGAACGTTAGTACACTTAATATAACGGAACGACGTGGTCTAGATGTAGAGCTAACCCCAAAAGTCTCGAGGTCGAATCCAGGATCATGTTAGTAAAACGTCCCTCAGTTCACCCAGATGGTTCCCTAACTTACGTTAGGGGAAAGTAGAGGCTGCTGACCTCACTATTTCTTCTTAGTTCACGATCACAGAAACATACGAACTCAAATTCTATTGTTTGATGGACAGTCCATTTTC